TGTGTGTGTGTGTGTGTTTATTTCAATAAAAATTATGTATACAATTCTATGTTGTTTTGCTTTACTTTATTTTGTATCTATTAATAAATATGCATTAAAGAATTGAAATTAACATGATCAGACTTGCCCTGTGACGTCATAGCAAAACATAAACAAACGTCCCACATGTCCAGCGACATCATCATTTTGTCACAACAAAATTCCGTTACCATGGCAATACAAACATAAACATATTTGTTTACTTGTTACGTCATGTCCCATTGTACGCTATAATTTTTCTTTGTCCTGTTACGTCATTAAAACAAAGGGTTTTACGTCAATTAACGTCATTTCCTTTGTTACGCCAAAGTAGCCTCCTACTACTTGTGTGTTTCTGAGTTGTAGCATAAGAACTCTATCAACCCACTATGTTTTTCATTGTAATTTGTTTTATATTTCTTTGTTTCATCAATTCTCGAATTGGAAACAACACTTTTGGAGTACCCTTTAAACAGAATTGATATCGATGAAAAAGGTGCTTTAGTTGAGTGATGTATGGAAACGAAAATGATTAAGTGATTGTTATAAAATTATCACTAATTTATGTCCAGGTAGAGCACTGTGCTTGTACGACTGGTTCTTTGTTTGCTTGTAAAATTATGTGTGGACAAATCTGCAATAAGACGACGGCAGTTGAAAATGGTTGATTGCTCATCTTTATTAAAATGTAAATTTTACTATAGTTAACTTTTGGAAAGAGAATTAAATTTTGTCGCGGCTCCATCTCGTAAATTGCACCCAGGGAACTCTTTGGAAATACATTTGAAGAAGAGAACGAAATATTAATATACTATTTAATAACTGAAAATACTGTGTCAAAGTATACTACTTCAAAAATGACAGCATTATAAAACTGCAAAATTTGCACTCGTTATTGCAAAATTGCCCACATGTATTGGAATGATCTTTCTAAAAGTGTGAATTTGCGACGTGACGAATGCTAAGAATAAACTAACTTTGGATCTCGGTATTTTGCCACTGTGTGTCTGATCAGTGACAGTCCCATAGTGTCAGCACTGGGAAGGCGTCAGTATGTTTGTTTTACGAAAATCAAATCAAGGGCAGCAGGCCCGTAGCCAGGGGGGGTTCGGGGGGGGGGGTATAAAGAACCGCCCCTTTTGCTGGGAAAAGGTCCACTCTGGGTAAAATTTGATCTAGGTATTTGATCTGATCTAGGTTTTTATGGGCAAAGGTCCACTTTTTCAGAAAAAGAACCCCCCTTTTGAAATTGCCTGGACAGGATAGAGATTTTTCAAAGTTAATATGCGTTTGTTATTACAGTAGGAAAAGTGTTTCTAATTGGACTATCATAATTTCTCAGTAGAGTCCAGTTGTGTATTGTTCACGACATTTTGTCAATATCACAAAGGCCAAATTTTACATCTTCACCAAGAAAAAAATCGCAGAAGGTATAATTATTATTATTACGTCTTTTGTCAATTGAAAGGTATGATTGGCTTTTACCATTACTTTTTACTTTCTGAAATTGCGAAAAATTCTCATCAAAGTGTCAAAAAGTGTAATGGTTGTTCTCAATTATCTAGATGGAATTTTGTAGACAGTCCTCTCCAGCTAGTTAAAAGGAAAAAATTCAACTGGAGATGAGCAGAATAATGATGATGATGATAAATACGAATAACTCTTATACTGGAACTTAAATTAAGCAACTGGGCGACGTTTTTACCTGAACCATATTCTACAGGATGACTAAAACATTCACTCAATAATGATGATTATGTTAATGTTAAAAAATTCATAACAAATATTTTGCTAATCTATTTAGGGTTGATTTTGTTGTCATTCTTTTCTTTATTCCATATATTGGGTCGGGGTCAAGGGGTCATTAAGATCAAATGTCCTGATGAGATGAGAGTCCTGCACGTCCTGTTGGGTTATTTTTGCTGAGCGCTGACTGATCACTTAACACCGGAGACCAGAATTTAGTTTATTAGCATTTGCTGAATGAATGTTTGTTCACTTAAAAACTTTTTTGAGTAAACTTATTTTTGTGTAACCTTTTCATATGTTTTTATATTATCCATAAAGATGGCTATTACTAGGATACAATTGTACACTGATCATGTCTTCATGCTGTTTTTAATTCACACGACGCAGAAAACTAATTGTTCACAGTCACCCAATTACGTCTTTTAAGATTTGATGCGAAAAAAATAGGCCAGATAAGGGCTATATATACATTTATTCACCAGCAAAAACAACCATGAATCTTTCCAGAATCAATACTTTTTAGGTATTGTGTGAGGTTATCAGCAAGACGACATGGAATAACGTGGGCAGTCATAAGTGTGTGTGTAATTTAGGGGGTAACATTTATATTAGGTCTTATGCATTTTGAATTTTCGATATCGCTAATACCACTGGATTTGGGTAAATGTTCCTCCATGAAATTTGTGATCAATTCTAAGATAAACAAAGTAGCGTCTTTTTCAACGAAGTTTAATATAGTCATGCGGCCAATCATTAATTTATTTATTCATTCTGGGCTTAAGTCCGTGCGTTTTATGTTCTGGTCAGTATTCTGTATGAGGATTAATTAATCGAGCAGCGATTTACAATATGAAACACGTTTTCGTTGGCGGAAGTGGCACTTTTTGTATTTAAGGTCGATTTATATTTAGGAATTCCATGTTTCAGAATATGCTATTTTGTAGGGAAAAAGTCATTTTCAGTCCTCTTTTCCGCTGCAAGGGCAACGATAACGTGTTTGTTGTACTTATCAAAAATTTGCAAAATGTCTCTTCGGACATCTAGTGATGTGTTTCGAGCTGGTATCGAACCCGCAGGTTTTCCATCGCCTCTTACTTTCTGCCCAACATTACGCCGCCTTACCCACTGAGCTACCGCCTCAGCTTACGCTGTCTTAGTTGTATGGTCGTCTTATAATCATTGAGACTGCTTATTTCGATTATTTTTTTGCAAAAGGTAATTTGCTGGGACCCAGCAGCGCCAGGAATTGAACCTGCGACCTTCCGACTCGGAGGCAAGCGCGTTACCTACTCCTCTAAGTGTTCCCACCCACCCTCCCCGGGTAGACTTTCTTCTTATAGTAACAAAACGAAAACAAGATCAAGTCCCACTTCCTTATTTCCAAGTACCCTTGCCAGGAATCGAACCCTGAACCCAGACTATACCACTAAGCCGCAAAAAGACATTTTGCATAAATTTGAAAGTTTTTTTTTTATTAAGAACAAAACAAATTTACATTAAGTATTCATTTATTTCAAAAACATCTTCCAGTAGAAGTACATTGTCTTATAAGAATATTTGCATTATTACAAGGATTGACTTTGTAAAACAGAATCATTGCTATCTGTATTACTTGATGCATATTTTGTCAAATAAATTTGAAACATTAACTATGAACTAAACCATTTGTTTTATATTTGATAATATAATACTAAATAAAGCATTAAATTATTTTCAATTTCTCAAAAACAATGGCGGAACTAGTACTCCATTCCCCGGAGGAAGAGAAACCCATTCTGGACTCGCAAAATCAAGTCCCAAAAATAATTCAAATTGCTTAAAATTTCAACATCTGACCCCTTAAAATATCCTTAATCCGCCAGTGTTTTTTAAACATGTAGAAATGTATTAAGTCTTCTCAAAAATTCTCCGTCTCTCACTCACTCTCTGTAATGTTTTTGGAGTGCTCACCTTATACGGCGCGTATATATATATATATATACACACACGCGCCGTATAAGGTGAGCACTCTAAAAACATTACATTATAAAAAACATTATATATATATATATATATATATATATATATATATATATATATATATATATATAATTCCAAAAACATATGCAACATGTTCAGTTATCAAATGTAGGTTTTAAGAAATCCAAAGTACAGATCACAATATTCCCTACATCAATATACAAGAAGGAAAATCTTGCTGTGCAACTTTCACAATTTTTATCGTTTGAAATGCAAGAAAATAAACATTTAAATAAACTTGTGCATCAACTGGTCGATAAAATGAAACATGTTGATAAGAGAACAGCAAAAGCTAGAAAAGAAAAAAATATCAATCACATGTCCGTTAATTTCTTAGCAAAACCGAGATTTGTTCAACTAAATTTTATTCTAGCGTTAAATTATTTATATTTGGTCATTCTGCGAAC